TCGGGAGGCGGACATCCGGACATTTTCACAGGCTAGCAACCATCGCGGTGAAAACAAAGGCCAAAAACTCGCAGAAAACGGTGCTTCGGGATAGTTGAGGAGACTCCCCTGAACAGTGTAACAAGATTAGCCCTACGTGTGTAACATATATGAATTTGGTTGTTCCGGATTATTTCAGAGTTGAGTTTGTGTTGTTTTTTCGAATTTTCACCGGCTCGATTGGCGTTCCACAGCAGCGTGCACAGAGCCCATAGAAATGCATGGTACAGTGGTGCGCATCTTAGCAATGTGGAACGTCTTGTGACGTAGCTCCGCCCTGAGGATATTGCTTCATTGCCACTCGAGGGGACTATATGCTTTCATTGCAACAAGAGGATGCTAAATTTTGCCATTGCCACTAGAGGTTGCTGTATGCCACTATTGCCACTAGAAGGTGCTATATACTTTCATTGCTACAAGAAGATGCTAAATTTTGCCATTGCCACTAGAGGGTGATATATTCCACCTTTGTCATTTGAGGGTGCAGTATTTAATTAATGCCACTATAGTATAGCACATACAGTCTCAGCCGCTATTTCGAATGTATGTAATTGTAATTAATTATTAATCATTGCCAGGTATGCAGCCATTGTTGTATTCAGTGAGAGAAGCTATAGAGGGCCATCCAAGCTGGATCCGTGCAGGGACAGATGTCTGCTATTACAGGAACCACTATTCCCGGAGTTCAGCGGCAGCAGCTGGACAAAAAGGAAAGAGTTACTTTTCCCTGACATTTACAATGGTGTTTCCATATGACGATGATATCTGTTACATGGCATATCATTATCCCTATACTTACTCTCAGCTTCAAGTGAGTCAAATAATGTTATTTCTGCTGTTCAGGGAAAACAATTGTTTTCCAAACTCCCTTATATTATTGTCATAAACATTAAAAAAATGTTATATATGATATAGGGGGATAATATGTACTATAAAAATGTAACAAAGCTCGCTCACATATGTGATCAGAATGTCTGTAGTATGTTTAAAAACTATGTTTTGGTTTTTGTGATGCAGTATATCCACCGTCTTTAAACAAGCAGAATTTTTAATATTCTGCTAGGAAATTTCAAATATGCATGCTTAAAAACACCTCCTCCTTCGACCCTAACTTTTTCCCCCCAAACTGTATAGTCCAAATTGTCACAACAAAACTTCTTCACACTCCAAAAGACCTTGTAAATGGCCACCGTTGAATATTATTGGAGCGAGGCAAAAACAATTCAACAAAATGTTGCTGGCCATTTGTGACAATTCCTGCTTATAGGGTTCCTACCACAATTGAGTGACTTTCTCCAAACGAGCAGGTTTAATTTGCTGAACCCACATTATGTAAAATAATTGTGGTCTTAATAACGCATGTTCACCAGCTTAAACTCCAGCTTAAAATGGATGTAAACAAAACACACAGATTTGTCAGCTTTCTACCTTCAATATTCTCTGAAAAGCTAGTTTGTAGTGTCAATCAAGAGTTGCCCACATTTACACCGGTTCTCGTCGATAAACAAAGCTTCACATGCGAGTCTCACACCTGATGTAATTTAAGTACCCCTTCACACACCACATTTAAGATAAAAGAAAAAAGCCCATTGGCTAGAATGCTGCTCTAATTAGTAGTCATCTTAAATGTGTATTTTTGTTTTAAAACAACCATAACAGTGCATCATTAAGTATCATACACACATGTGGACAACTTGTTGACTGACAGATTGTTGCACTTTGTTATTTTACAGACACACTTGTTCGAGTTAGAAACTAATCTCATAGGTAGTGGACACACCAATATCTATTATAAGAATCAGACCTTCTGCGAGACACTGGGTGGTAATCCTTGTCCAGTTCTGACCATAACATCCTATCCACACTCGAGAGATAAGGAAGGCATCGAACAATTCAGTAAGTCACAACTCGTGTTTAATTTTGGATGCAAGTAAATACAGGTCAAAGTGCAAATAGTCTCTTTGTGAATAAATATATGAAGGATCATTATAATTTATGGTCAATATTCATATTTATTGAATATGCAAATACAGTCATCTATATGCTAGTTATGAAAATAATTTACAATGTAAATATAGGGCAATATTGCAAATGATTGGTCATTATTTAAACGTCTAACGATTAGTATGAAAATAATGCTGTGCCATGTGGTGGAAAAATATTTCAATGTCAACATGCAAATTTTTTTTTCTCGCAAAATCAATTCATTATTCAGTTTAAAAATACTATTGAGATGGACTTTCAAAATTCCGATATTGAATACATTCTGTCCTTTGCAGGATGCCGGCCATATATCTTTCTCTCTGGTCGCGTACATCCAGGAGAAAGTAACGCTTCCTGGGTCATGAAAGGATCGTTGAATTTCCTGATGAGTCAGCATCCTATTGCACAGGCTTTACGAGAAGTTTATATTTTCAAGATAGTTCCAATGTTGAATCCAGATGGTGTTATTAATGGAAGGTAATGTACTAAATGTTTACAGCTAGTTTGCCTCTGAAATAGGTTTCAATTTATTCCTTTATTTCTGAAAAATCCAAGGCTAGTGGTGACTGTCCTCAAAATACTCTGTTTTCCTTTTTATGAAAAAAATAATGTCAATGTAGTCTAATAGTAAGGAAGAGACAAAACCAAAAATACCACTTGAATTAATTAGTGTAAGCACATGTTTATTGTAGTACAGAAAGCATTGTACAATTTCTCTTATGAAACATGTTATGAGCATATAGGACAGGTCAGGCCAGATATAGGACAGATCAATATCAGGTGCTACAATAGTTTACAATTACTTGCGGTCTTTATTTTTTTTAATACCCCCCGGTAGTTATTTCTCCTGTGGTCAACACTCCGATTCAATATTTTAACTCAAGATCTTGTTAGAGTGCACACTGAATCTGGTCTTTTGTATGATGAAAACTCCCGAAGTAATTCAGGATTGATAACTGTTTTGTACTTTTATCTGTAGTCATCGTTGTTCATTAAGTGGTGAGGATTTGAATCGGCGTTGGCAGGATCCTTCACCAGATCTGCATCCCACTATCTACCATACCAAAGGTTTACTCCAATATTTACAACTCATAAACAAGACACCATTGGTCTATTGTGATTATCATGGACATTCTCGTCGTAAAAACGTCTTTATGTATGGATGTAGTAGTGCCTTGTCATATCTACCAGAAGACAATGCTACTGTTTCTAGTGGTAGTTCAGGTTCACGGGAAGATACCAGTTATAGGGTAAGGTTATGTATTTTCAGTGCTCATTTAGTTATCGTCCACAAACCGGGACACTCGTGTTTTCCTGTCTAGCACATTGCAGATCACAGGACCAGATCAGTTTATACATCTGATATGACTGTAGCCAATTCTCAGGCCAGGAATGCTGGAGCCTAGCAGGAAGAATGTACTCTTTATTTTTTGTCAACAGTTGAGTGACCAGTGACTGCAGTTATCTGATCTTGCTTTTCATTGCAGGGTAACACTAGTAGAAAAAAAATCAAACCTGCATTCTCTGCCATGC